CTCCCCTCCACTATCAGCACCTGCATCATTTTCTACGACTATGTATGTACGTCTTTGTGTGCGCCAGACTCGACCTGGAAGCATGTTGGTGGGTTTTATTTATCTCACACAGGATTTATTCTTTTAACGTTCATTTATTTTGAGAGAGAGAGAGGGTAAGCAGGGGAGAGGCAGAGAGGGAGAGAAAACCAAGCAGGATCCACACTGTCAGCGCAGAGCCCATCATAGGGCTTGAATCCATGAACTGTGAGATCATGACCTCAGTCAATGTCAAGAATCGGATGTTTAACCAGCTGAGCCACCCAGGAGACCCCCACACAGGACTTAAAGCCGGTTTTGAGGCTACATTCAAAATTAGGAGTTTCTACCTAAACGTCCATATGTCAGACTTCTGAGGAACAGTCAGACTGGCTGGCAGCATGGGGCCTGCGCCCCCCACTACTTCCCATGTCCCTGACACTGCCTTGCATCAGCAGCTGTCTGTGCCAGAGCTGCTCTGTTTCTTGTGGTAGGGAGAAGTTCTCCATGCCCATGTCACTGTCCCACATGGTATACAGAAGACCAAGATGGACACGTGTTTTAAGAAAAATGGGAGAAACGCGCCTGAGTGGCTTAGTTAAGCATCCGACTCTTAATTTCGGCTCCAGTCACGATCTCAGTTTGTAGGTTCGAGCCCCACATCGGGCTCTGCACTTACAGCACAGAACCTGCTTGGGATTCTCTCTCCCTCTCTCTGCCCCTCCCCATCCCTCTCTCTTGCTCTCAAAATAAATAAACATTAAAAGAGAGAGAGAGAGGGAGATCACTGTCTCTACCATGTGAGGGCACAATGAGAAGGTAGCAGTCTGCAAGCCAGAAGAGAGCTCCCTTCAGGAACTGAATCCACTGACACCTTAATCTTGGACTTCCAGCCTTCAGAACTGTAAGACATAAAAGTCTGTGGTGTGTTGTTACAGCAGCCTGAGCAGACGAAGACACTGTGGAGTGTGTGGAATCTTCACCCCATTCTGAGTGATGCGTGAGCTGACCACACACAGGAGAGTCTAGCAGATGTCATCCCTGGGAGTAAGGATTTCCAAGTATGCCTGGTGGTCCTTGAATCCCCCTTCCTCCACACTCCAGCCTTTCTCCTTTATCCTGGAGCAGCTCTCTTGGAGGAATAGTCATGCTTTGCAAGGCTGTTCTTACTTGTCTGGTTCTTATTTGGCCTGCTGGCTGTAGGGACAAGAAGATAAAGTTTCAGGGGTGCCTGGGTGGCTCAGTCGGTTGAGCGTCTGACTTCGGCTCAGGTCATGATCTCGTGGTCTGTGGGTTCGAGCCCCATGTCGGGCTCCTATAAATTTATTAATTTATTTACTGAGCACCTACTATGAACCAAGCAGATTTTCCCACTATGTTTAGAAAAACAGAGGGGGTATTCTGGCCCAAAGTAGCCACTTTAAAGGATAACCTGTAACCTTATCCTTTAAGGGATAACTAGGGGCACCTGGGGGGCTGATTCTGTTAAGCGTCTGACTTTGGCTCAGGTCATGATTTCGCGGTTTGTGAGTTTGAGCCCCACATCAGGCTTTGTGCTGACAGCTCAGAGCCTGGAGCCTGCTTCAGATTCTATGTCTCCCCCTCTCTCTGCCCCTCCCATGCTCATGCTCTGTCTCTATCTCTCAATAATAAATCAATGTTAAAAAAAATTAAAAAAAAATTAAGGATAACCAGAATCTTCCAAGAAATCACTCGGATATTTATTGCAAGGCGGAGCTCTGATTACCGGGCTGGCGTTCAGGAGTGCCTTAGGTGAGTGGTTGGGGCAGCAGACTCTGGAGTGGACTTGCTGGAGTTTGATTTGGCTTTGCCACTTTCCTGTGTGTGGCCTTGGCAGAGTTCTGCACCTCTCGGAGCCTCAGTTTACTCATCTAAAACATGGGTCATAATGATATCTATAAAAGAGAGTCATTGTGAGGATTTCAGTAGCACAGTAAGAAAATCCCATGGACTTAGGAAGTGCTTTAAAAACATTAGGTTTTATTATTAGCTCATAGAGGCCTTATAAAAAGTGTAACAAAACACCCATTATATATCAGTTTTGGGGCATAGTAGCTCCATGACGACTCTCTTAGATAATTTAGTCAAATTAGCTAAACTATTTGACTTGTATATTGAATTTTTGTTTCTTACTCATTTGGATACTGAGAAATTGCTACCAAAGATGACAACTTCTGGAGAGCTTGATTGTAAACCCTCTTTTCCCTGCCACAGTTAAACACCAAGAGCAAATGTGAGCTGAATCGATGCCTTGTCTGTGAGGATGGAACCATGGCATCAGTCTGAAGGGAACTTCCCCTCTGTCTTCCGAGAAGCATATGTGTGGGTCGCTCAGTTGCTTGCAAACTTCTGTGAGTAGGAGGCTGCCATTTTAACTCAAACGGTCTTGTAGACTCCATAACCACTACGAAAACAAGCTACAGTTATAAGTATAAATATAGTGATGTGTGTGTATAACGATAAATACTTCTCATTCAGACCATGAACAATGCTTGGGACCTTAGTAGGCCCGTGGGCCTCTTACAGGAACTCCATGGCACCAGGCATCTGAGACCCACACACTGAGACCACGTCCTCCATCTCAGAGTAGCTACAAGTCATGAAACTAGAGCTGATGCCTAAGGAGCATTTGTCATGTGCTGGATATTGTCACGGGTGTTTTACAAACGTAATCTCATCTAATCCCATCTCTCAGCTCCCTGAAGCTGAAGCTGTGGCAATCTTCATTTTACAGGTGCGGAAGGCAAGGCACACCTTGTTGATAAGTGGTGGAGCCAGGATTCGAAGCACTGGCTTGGTGTACGTCTTTGGAGGCCCCAGTTCACCCCGATTCACATGTTAGGGGCCGCCTGTTTGTGTCTCCCCCCATAATAGAATTAAGACCGAAATACTAAACAGACAAGCAAACGTGAAATCCTGAGCAAAGCAGAAATTTGTCCTTTTAATCTCTGTCGGTTGTAGTCACTGAAAATTGCCCAGACAGGAGAAGGCCAGAGCCTGGGTCACTACATAGACTTGGTAACTTCTGTGCATACGGCTCTGAGAAGGAGATGCTTGGTTCCCACAGCTAACCAGGAGGCAGTCAGAAAGGAGAAGGCATGGGACAGCTTTGAAAATGCTGGCGTCCCCACACCTGTCCCCTTCCCTAGATGCAACCCAGCACGTTCTGCAACTAGATGATGGTTGTCAGCCCTACAGAACTTGCTGACTGTCCCTCAGATTCTCCACCGGCCTCTTCTGTTTTCCTCTTTTTCCCTCTCCCATTTTATTTGTTCTGTCTTCTTCCTCTCCTGCTATATGCTCCCTGTGACTTATTCAAAGTTCCCCTTTGCACATTCTGTTCCCAAAGCAAATCAGTTGGCAGGCCTCTTGTGTTGGACTTAAGTACCAGTTCTCTGAATAGCTCCACATGTTGGTGTTAGTTTATTCTTAACATCCCCGCCTGTCCTGACCAGCACCCTCATGTTGAAGAAGAAACTGAGGCGTATATCTTCCTGCCTTTCTTCAGACCCCACCACAAGGCTGTGGTGGTCTTGAAGGCAGTCCTGTAATCTGCTCTTAAAGATGCCTCCCACTTGGGGGGCGCCTGAGTGGCTCAGTTGGTTGGGCGTCTGACTTCGGCTCAGGTCATGATCTCGCAGTCAGTGAGCTCAAGCCCTTTGTTTGAGCTCTGTGCTGATGGCTCAGAGCCTGGAGCCTGCTTTGGATTTTGGCTCCCTTTCTCTCTGCCCCTCCCCAGCTCATGCTCTGTTCTGTCTCTCAAAAATGAATAAATGATAAAAAAAAATTATTTTAAAGATGCCTCCCACTCGGGGAGAGGCTGTCTCCAGAAATAAGTCATAGGCATCCCAGTGCCTTGTTCCGCTTGGTGTGCTCACAATAAAAACTGGATGCTGGATGTAGCGGGGGAAATGAAACATGAGACAGAATGCAGAGTAGGAGGGGGAGAAAAGCTAGTGGGAAGATGGGGTTAGGTGCTAGGTCTGGGGATGCCAGAACTAAAGGACTCAGGAATGGCCTGGTCCTTATGTCAGCGATAATGCTGATGGAGCACTTACCATGTGGTAGGCAGGTTACCCTCACCAAGACCCTTTACCTGCTTAAAGGGCCAGGGGCTTAGTTTTCTCCAGTCTGGACAGCAACACCAGGGACCATTTGTCTAGTTCACTTCCTGTTCATGGTGCCTGCCTGTTACAAAGCAGAGCCCAGTATTTGTTGATTAAATTAACAAATAAAAGAAATCAGCCATTGGTATCCAAGATGCCCCAAATAAGTAACTTTCTGGGTCTTCACTTCTTAGTCTCTAAAATTAAAGAGTTGGACTAGGACAGATGCCTGGATTCCAACCTCACCCCAGCTCTCCACTTACTGAGTGTGTGTGACCTTGGTCTGGTCACTGAACCTCTCTGCCTCCTTTCCTCATCTATAAAATATTGCTAATAGTACCTACCTCCCATCTTTGTTTCAAGGATGAACTGTTAATAAATTGCAAAGTATTTAAAACAGAGCCTGGTACATACAAAGTACTATGTAAGTAGAAACGTAAATTTACAAAATCCCCTCCCACCGTGGACCTTTCTCAGGCTAGGGGAGGGCGTATGGAGGCGACACGGGTAGCATGGCCCAGAAGCTACGGGACCTCGAAACGCTCGCCTACTCACTGAAGGTGCAAGGACTACGATACCCATAATGCTTCCTGTGGTCCCGCCCACGCGGTCTCTTTCCCACGCGCTTACAGGTAGTCGGCCAGGGGTTCGAGGACTACGTTGCCCACAATGCATCTCGCGGGCCTGCCCTTCCAGGCTTATTCCCACCCTCGACAGCCGGCTCAGCTAATGGCGCGAGGACTACATTACCCACAGTGCTGCGGTGGGCCCGCCCACACGGCCTCGTTCTCTAGTACCACAGCGGGCTCAGCCCGTGGCTGGAAGAGGACGTAGCTCGGGTTCCGCTTTGTGCAGGTTGTTGGTCTAGGGTCTAGCCGGCCCGCCTGCTGCACCCCCACGCCCACGGTCCTGCCCCCGGCCCGGCCCGCCGCGCTGCCGGTGAGTGCGGGCGCGGAGTCCCGGCCCACGCCGCTTCCGTCCCGCAGCCCTTCTTCACCAGAACCCGGGGTTGTGCTCGGCCTGGGCCACCGCTCACCCTGCACCCGAGGACGAAACCGGGGAAAGCATGCCCGGCCGGGGAGTCCCTACTCTCTCAGGACCCTGGAGTTGGAGGGGCCGTGGTGACCCATCCACTGAGGGTACCCGGCGGGCTTTCAGGGCTTGCCGAGCCCGAATTGGAGGGTCAAGTCGTGACAGAACCCGCGTCCCCTTGGACACGGAGGGCCCTGGTTCTATTTCCAAGGGGACCCCATCCTAAAAGGGCCAACCGTAGTAGTGAAAACTGCACTTCCCAAGCTCTGGCCCCGTTCCAGTCAGTGCTCAAAACCCTTTGCAAATATCCCGGTTAGTCCTCTTAAAAGCCTGTGTGTAGGAATATCATCATGTCTACTTTTTGCACGAGGAATCGATGCCCTGAGAGTTTAAGTAACTTGCTTAGGAATTACCAGGGGGCTTAGAAGCAAGGACGGTTTGATTTACTTCAGCTCTTTTGCCAATGAGGGTGAGTTGGCTCTGGGGCTAGGGCAGGGCCTTATGGGTGTGGACACTTAACTAGCCTCAGTGCTGCACCCCAAATGATTATGTTGTTTCTCCACAGAGCCCTGAAAACATCACTTCCAGTGTCTGGCCAGAGGTACAGGGAGAGACAGATTTGACCTTTCAGGCACAAGAAAGAGCAAGACTTGCCCCAGACAATGGCGACCACACCTGGTCTCCAGCCTCCACCACCCCTGGAGCAAGACGAGATCCTGATCGTGAAGGTGGAGGAGGATTTCTGCTGGGAAGAGGAGCCTTCCCTGGAGACAGAAGACCCCAGCCCTGAGACCTTCCGCCAGCTCTTCAGGCTCTTTTGTTACCAGGAGGTGGCCGGACCACGGGAGGCCCTGAGCCGCCTTTGGGAGCTCTGCTGCCGCTGGCTGAGGCCTGAATTGCGCACCAAAGAGCAGATCCTGGAGCTGCTGGTGCTGGAGCAGTTCCTGATGGTGCTGCCTGGGGAGATCCAGGCCCGGGTGCGGGAGCAGCAGCCGGAGAGTGGTGAGGAGGCCGTGGTCCTCGTGGAAGGGCTGCAGCGGGAGCCCAGGAAGCAGAGGCAGCGGGTGAGGTGGGGGGCAATTTGGCCTTAAGGTGAGGAGATGGGGACCCAAGACCTCAGGGCTCTGCTCCTAAGATCTGCATTTGGAGATTCCTTGGGCTGTGGAGCCCGCAGCCTGCCTTGGCCATTGGGAGGACCTGGGGCTGCCTGTACCTGTGAAACAAAGAAGGCAACTGCAAAGTGTTTCTCAGCCTTGGCCGATGGGTGTAAACCTGTCGATTAAGCACATGTAGCCCCACTAGCTCTCTTTGAACTGTGTGGTTTGGTTCATTCACATCACCCCAGTATAGGTCCTACACAGGTTTTCATGGGAAAGAGGTTGGAGATCTTCCAAGGCAGGGCCCTGGGGGTTGAAGAGATTCCAGAAGGAGAGGAGCATTGGGAAGAAAGAGCAGGGGCTGGTGGGTGTCCCAGTTAGAGCTCCCCCCCCACCCCCAACCTCTCCAGAGCTGCGCTGGCCAGTGCAGTGGCTACCAGTAACATGTGATTTTTTTTTTTTTTTTAACGTTTATTTTTGAGAGAGAGACAGAGACGGAGTGTGAGCAGGGGAGAGACAGAGAGAGAGAGAGGGAGAGGAGAGAATCCCAACCAGGCTCTCTGAGCTGACAGTCTGATACAGGGCTCCATCTCATCAACTATGAGATCGTGACTGGAACCAAACTTGGGAGTTGGATGGTTAACCAACTGAGCCACCCAGGCACTCCCACGTGTGATTTTTTAAATTAAAACTAAATAAAATGTCAGGTGTAGTTCCTGAGTCACACTGGCCACATTTCAAGGGCTCAGTTGTCACACGTGGCCAGTGGCTACTGTACTGGACAGCGAAGATATGGGACACTTTGTTGTCATGGAAAGTTCTGTGGACAGCACGACTCTAGAGCACGCTCCCAACTTCTTGTAACCAAATTGGAGTAATAGGGAAGTCTTAACAAATTCTTCTTGCTCAGATTAGGTTAGTCCTACTGCATAGCTCTTAGCTCAGCTTGGATTAGTTCTTTGGCATGCCTTTCCTCTGTCTCTATGCACCCCATAACCTCTGGGGACTGTCTCTTCTTAGAAGTGTGGGATGTTGAGCTTGATGCAGGGATCCCTGGCACTGGTTTTAAAGTTTTCTTATCCCAAGTACTGTTGCAGAGCTCAGTAAACGCTGAGACCCAAGTTGATCGTGTTCACCTGTTCTGGAATTGGGACATAGATGGTCTCAGAGCACTTGTCACTGACTTCAGGAAATGTAGCACTGCTATAGTGTGAACTTCTGAAATGAGATCTGATTCGGGGCCTTTCTGGTCCAGGGTCTGTTGGGAACACCAAGGAAGGAGGGGTAAGAGAGTGCAGTGTGATGGGGAGACAGTGGAGTCTCACTCAGGGGCAGAGCAAGCCTCCGTTTGTCCAGGTTGGGAGCCTGACCTCTTCCCAGCTCACATTCCTTCTCCCAGAACAGTCTGGAGGGAGGACTCTGTGCGATGGGGAGGCCTGTGGGGGCAGACCTGGGGAGGTAGCCGGCGGGGGTGGTTGTGGTGAGGCACAGCTGGGGGGAGCCTGGGAGCCTGGGAAGGGAGCATGGCCAGGGGTGCCTGAGGCAAAAGTGGTTGGGGACCTTGTGGGTTTTCTCCCAAACTTCTGGGAACTGCTGGGCAGATCTCCATCTGCATGCAGGGCCTGGAAGTGCTCCCTGATGATGTACTGCCCCACGGGACAGGAGAACAGTGCTTGAAACACCAAGTGGAGGCTGAGCCAGAGGAGCTGTCTCTGGAGGAAGGGTCTGGATGCTCCAGCCAGCAGCCCCCAACCCAACTGAGCCACACACCAAAGAGGAGCCCCCAGCTCTGGCCAAAGAGGGGTGAGTAGCCATCCCTCTGGATGAAGGAAGCCCTGCAGGGAAAGGAAGCAGAGGGAGGAGGTTGTCACAGGAGGTTGGGCCACTGCATGTGGGAAGGACAGGTTCCTGCCCAGGACTGAGCGTAGGTGCAGAGTAGTTGGCCCTGTCTGGGCCTTTGCTACTGTTTCCACACCTGGGCTGTGTGGCCTTCTCTGACCACTCTGTGTCTTTCCCCAGGCCCGGTGGCCTCCCAGCATCAGGAGACGGCACCGGCCACATCCTTCGTTTCATCCTGGTCCCAGGTGAGTGGGTGTTCCACTGCATCCCTGTGTGTCCCACGCCCTTGTTACAGGGACACTTTCTCCATGGCCAGGTCCAGCTTTCGGAGGTGCTCCTCGTGGAATGACCCCTTTACCCTTACTTTTACCTCCTGGAAGTCTTCTCTCTGATGCCATCTGGGTATTAGGTGTGTCGCAGAGGATTCCAGGGCTTAGTTGTGGACTAGGGCAATTGCTTCAAACCTAGCTGGGCGCTAGATTCTTGGGACCTTGGGCAAAAATATAGATTCATCCCCCAGCCCTGGCCTGGAATCAGAGCCTCCGTAGCTTGTTTAAAGAACAGCTTTATTGAGATATAATTCATATACCACACAACTCGGCCATTTAGAGTATTTAACATTTAGTATATGTATAGAGTTATGCAACTATCATGATGGTTCTCAAAACATACTCCTCTTCAAAACACCCGGTACCCGTTAGTGGTCCCTCCCCACCCCCGTTCCCCAGCCCCTGGTGGTCTTCTTTCTGTCTCTGTGCATTTGCCTCTTCTAGACATTGCTTGCTTGGGTTTTAATGTGCTCCTCAGGTCACTGTGGTGCTAGATTTGGGAACTACTGGCCTGGAGGCATCCTGAAGTTCCCAAGACACCTGACTCGGGTCCCAGGGCTGGTTCGACCTGAGGCAAGGCATGTTTAACTTGTGCCCCTGAGGAGCATGGGCCCCAGTGGCTGAGCGCACAGTGGACCAGCTGCTCCATACGGTGGCTCTGTCCATGGTGTCTCTGGGCCTGCAGCAGTGGGACACGGCATGGTGGTGGCGGTGTCCTCCCAGCTAGCAGGATTCCGCTGTTCTGTGAGCGGAACTTGAGGAGCAGGAGTGGATGACCGCATATGGAGAGGGATGGTGTAGGAGAGAGGCAGTGGGGGAGGCAAGCAGGATCTGCCGTTGTGTTACAGGTGGAGGGGGTGGGTGAGCCCGCTAGGCCGGCCGCATGAAGGAGCCGTGGCAGGGGACTGAGTGGGTTGCACTCCAGCAGGTGCCGGTGACCTTGGAGGACGTGGCGGCATACCTGTCCCAGGAGGAGTGGGAGTGCCTGGACCCGGCTCAGCGGGGCTGCGTCTGGGATGTGCTGCCCGACAGCGGGGGTAACGTGCTCATCAGTGGCATGTCTGTGACGTGGGCCAGTCTCAGGGAGGGTGGCTCCTTCCCTTAGGCTGGCTATGGCCCACTTGGCATCTCCCAGGCCGTCTCCCTGCCCAGTACCGTTCCTGTCTCTCCACCACTTACAGAAGCCAATCCAGCAGTTGTTGGACTGCAGTGGCCCAAGGAATCCCTGGGGAGCATGTTAAACTAGGAACTCACACCCCGCACCAGGTTGGTTCCATGGGCCGGGCACACTCCCTGGAGAGCCTGCTCCGCACCCAGCTGAGTGCAGCCTGCAAAGGCAGGGTTGCTAGAGACCCGTCAGAGGCCCAGCTGCAGTGGGGAGAGTATGGCTGCTCAGCTCATCCCAGGCAAGTGCCCAGAGCTGTCCTGGGTTCCTCCGTCCACACGGCTCGTCCAGTTTCACTTAGCCTCTGTGTCGCCCGTGACCCCTGTGGGTAGAGCTGCTCCTGGCAGGGCCTTGGCCATCGACAGCTTCTCCTTTCCAGCCCTGTCCCCAGCTCATCCCCCAACACTGTCTGGTTTTGAAGGAATTGAGGTGCTTGTTTGGTATCAGTTGGATTTCTTCAGAGAAACAGAACCAATTGTGTGTGTGTGTGTGTGGTGTGTAAGTAAAGGCATTTATTTTAAGGAATTGGCTCATAGGATGGTGGAGGCTGGCAAGCCTAAAATCTGTAGGGCAGTCCTGCAGGCTGGAAATTCAAGTGAGAATTGATGTTGCAATCCTGAGTCTGATGTCTGCAGGGCAGGCCAGCTGGCACGAAACCCAGGCAGAATTCCTCTTCGGGGAAACCACAGGTTCTGCTCTTGAGGGTTCAGCTGATTAGATGAGGCCCATCTACTGATACTGAGGGTGATCTGCTTTACTTACATCTGAGTGTAGATGTTAAGTAGAAAGTATAGCAACCTGAGAGGATTTTTTTTTAAGTATATTTATTTTGAGAGGGTGGGGAGAGAGTGTGGGGAAGGGGCAGAGAGAGAGAGAATGAGAGAGAGAATCCCAAGCAGGCTCTACGCCATCAGCACAGACCTTGATACAGGGCTTGAATTCACAAACCATGAGGTCATGACCTGAGCTGAGATCAAGAGTCCGATGCTTAACCGACTGAGCTACCCAGGTGTCCCAACCCAAGAGGTTGTTCAGCTTGGCTGTGGTGCCATTGTTCGGTTAAACACCAAAACACTGTTGACATTGGGTCTGGATAATTCTGTTATGCCATCCTGTGTGCCATAGGGTGTTCGCCAGCCCCCCTGGCCTCCACTCACTAGATTCCATTAGCAACACTCCACTGCCTGGCTGTGACAACCAAAAATGTCTCCAGACATTGCCAAGTGCCCTCTGAGGGCCACCATTGCCCCTGGGGTTAGAATTCCTGGCTTAGAGGCTAAGAGCCTAGACTCCAGAGCCCACCCTGTAACTTACTAGCCAAGTGACTCTGGGTAAGTTCTTTAACCTTCCCGTGCCTCAGTTTCCTCATCTTAAATGGGGCCATAACAGCACCCACCTCCTTGGCGTGGTGAGGGTTTCACGAGCTGCTGCCCATGGTTAATTATCTCCATCCAGGGTCTGACAAGCACTTCCTGCTGAGTGTTCTGAGGCTCCGCCCAGCCTTTGCTTTCTTTCTTATCAGGAGCATCCCCTCGCCCCACGAAGGCCTCAGGGACTGTGCTTTCTCTGTCTCAGGGCTTGGGCTGCAACTTGAGGATGGAGAGGGCGCCAGGCAGGACGTGCTGACGAGAAGGGAGCAGGACCGAGAGCTGGTTGGGGGCATGACCAGGCCTGAGCAGTCTCTGGAAAGAGGAGGACCCCGGCGGAGTGAGAAGCCGTACGCGTGCCCTGAGTGTGGCAAAGGCTTCAGTAAGACGTCCCACTTGACCAAGCACCAGCGCACACACACCGGGGAGCGGCCCTACAAGTGTCCGGTGTGCGGGAAGGGCTTCAGTGACCGCTCCAACTTCAGCACGCACCAGCGGGTGCACACGGGCGAGAAGCCCTATGCGTGCGCGGAGTGCGGGAAGCGCTTCAGCCAGAGCTCCAGCCTGGTCATCCACCGCAGGACACACACTGGCGAGCGGCCCTACGCCTGTGCCGAGTGTGGGAAGCGCTTCAGCAACAGCTCCCACTTCAGTGCACACCGGAGAACGCACGCAGCTGAGAAGCCCTTCGTGTGCCCGGCCTGTGGCAGGGGCTTCCGCCGGGGCACCGACCTCCACAAACACCAGTGGACCCACAGCAGAGAGCAGCGCCCCCCAGGCCAGCGGAGCCCCACAGCACGGCTCCAGGAGGCCCCTGGGCCAAAGCCTGGCCGCCACTCATTGAACTGTCCATTTCCGGGATCCGTTTCAGAATTTCGAGGTCACAGTTCATGAAGCTGCTGGAGCTGTTTCTGTTTTGGAACCAAAATCCTAACCTTAAGGCATTTCACACTGATCCCATTTGCCCCTGGTGTGGGTCCAGCTTGTGGCGGTGGGACATTTCAGGTGCTCAGGCCCAGGGAGGAATCTGGACACGGAGTTTGGCAGTGACGGCTAGATACCAAGCCGGGTGTACGTGGGTCCTGGGGCTGCTGTACAAATGGCCACGACCCAGGTGGCTCAGCACCACAGGGACAGACTGTCACAGTTCAGGAGGCCAGAAGTCCAAAACCAAGATGTAGGCAAGGCTGCCTCCTTCTGGAGGCCCGGACGGAGAGACCATCCCAGGCCTCTCTCCTGGCTTCTGCTGTTGCTGGTGTTCCTGGTGTCCTTGGCTTGTGGCCACAACACTCCCATCTCTGCCTCTCCCGTGTCTCTGGTGTCCTCTTGTAAGGGCACAGTCATTCCATTTAGGGCGCCTAATCCTGAATGACAGCATCTTAACTAATTACATCTGCAAAGACCCTGTTTCCAAATCAGGGCACATTCTGAGGTTCTGGATGGACATGAAGTTGGGGGACACTCATCTGTCCACTTCAGGGAAACCTCAGTGGCTCCCATTCCTTACTGCATTAACATACCCCAGCCTTCCCTGGTCTCCCCCCTTTCCCCTCCAGCCTTGCCACATTTTCAAAACGTAGCCTGTGGGGACTTGTTCCATATCCCAGTGGTGTCGGCGGGCAGTGGGATGAGTTGGGGGTCACCTGCCTAGAGCCACAGCTGTTCTAAAGGACAGATGACTCATGTGAGTACGCTTCCCTGATAGCCCATCTTCCGACCTCCGCAGGCGTGTGAGGATGCCTGTGGAGATGACTGACATCTGTCCCCCCAGCAGGAGCCAGGGCCGCCTTTGCTCCATCCCCAAGTGGCCAGGACAGAGACAGCGTTGGTTGCCCCACTTTGTCCCTCTGCGGTGGACATGCTTCTGATCTGTGCACATCCACTATCTCCTGGGTGGCTGAGGGGAACAGTATAGAGTACTTGTTCCATTTAGTCATCACTGAAGTCTTGGGGGCAGCTGCTGAAACCACTGGGTTCCGGAACATTCCACGCAGGGAGTATGGCAGTTTCCCATGGCTGGGTGGCCTTGGACCTCAGGCTGTGCTCCATTCTATTTGTCACCCAATAACTGTATATATTTTCACCTTCCAGCATAACCCAGGTTCCAGGGTGCATGACCTACTCTCTGTTTCCCTAATAAACAAAGCGGGTCCTTCTGGCCTCGTGTGCTCTGCCCTATGTGTTCTTTAGAGAAGGGGGCCACTCAGTTTAAGCATGGTGTTTACCTTCTAGGCCAGCTTCCAGAGCTCCAGCACTGCCGGTAACCCAGCTTCCCTAAGTAGCTGCGAGTCTGCAGGCTCACTACTGTCGTGTCCAGGCTGGTGCCACAGGTGGCCACCTGCTTCCTCGCCTGGGACCTGGGCCTGTTGGTGCCTCTTCCAGAACATTCTCTCAAGCAACCCTGAGACATACGGCTTTTGTGCCTCTCCTTTTACAGATGGGAAACTGAGGTCCTGAATGCTTTTAGCACCTTGTTCAGGTGGCAAAACTGGTTTTGAGCTCGGGTCTACCACGTCATCTTCTTGACTTGCCTTACTGGTGGTTCACTGAGTTGAACTTGGAACGAAGAAGTTATTTTCTGTCACTGTGAAGCATCCCAAATTTCTGGCATTTGAAAGGGATAGAGATGGGGGGGAAAGCTGGCCATTGCACTTGACAGGCCGCATGGGTGGAGGTGTGTCACATTTGGGTTTCTGTGGCGGAGCCCCGACCACACTGCATGTGTCCTGGAGCAGAGCGTGAGGGGTCTCCGTGGATGTGCGAAGAGCCAGGAGCGCAGGTGACGCAGCCTGGCCACCTTCCTTGCAGGTAGGCCCACCCGGGGCCTCCTGTGGCCTTGGTGGAACCTGTCTTGCACCTGGCCCCTTGTCATTGGGCCACGTCAAGTGGGGTCTGTGGCCCCGATCTTGGCTATCTGTGGCTGAGGCCAGGCAGAGCCTGCCTTGCCTAGGGCAGGGCTTGATGACAAGAGACCCTTGGCCAGCCTCAACACCTGCAGCAAGCGATGACCCCAGCTGAATGCTGGAATACATTCTTAAATGCTAAGGACCCTGCCAAGCTGCTGAGCCTGTGATGTGGAGAGACTCGAGGTGACTGCTCTTACCAGGGAGCAGGGGCAGAGACAGAATCCTGGAAACAAGTTGGTGAGAGAAGAGAGGTGCCAGAGATCAGGGCTGCAGCCTATTGGGGGCTGCAGGGCTGAGAACCGGAAGAAATGACTGAATAAGGAGGACAGTGGAGGATAACGTCCGCAAAGTAACAGGGAAGGACGTCGCCCATGAGGTGGGGCCCCGCTCTGTTCCATGGGGACAGTTTGGGTGTTAGGACACTCAGTACTCTATCTCCACATAAAGGTCAGCCCCACCCGAAGTCAGGAAGGACCCTAGAACAGATGTGTGCCTTTGTATCTTGGTTAAAGAAAAAAACAGTCCAGTCTTCACCCCTTTATCAAAAAGTCCATTTGGTGTGTGTGTGTGTGAGGGGGAGTGTGGTATGTTAATGCAAGCACATAAAATAGCAAGCATCCAGGGACTCAAGATCAGGCTAAATTCTCTTCAAAGACCCTTTCAACCTTGAAATTCTCTAAATATGTTTTATTGCAGTTTTAGTTTTAAAAAAGACCTCGTATGATGGAAAACAACAGATGCACCTTAAAGAGAAGACTGCAGGAGCAGTGAACACGCTGGACAGCCCCTCCGTCCGCACAGACTACCGTCTGCGGAGTCTCCCTCCAGATGCTTTTCAAAGGAGTTGTCCTCACTCTCTGTGTACAAATTTAGCATCTTTGCTCTGAGGGCATAGAATGATCACACCACATTTTAAGAGGTCTGGGTGACAGCCCCCCAGTCAGAGGGCCCCTGGGCTACATAAGCACATTCTCATGGAAACACGGGAGAGCCAGGGGACCACCAGGGCCCGGGTATGTCGATGGACAGTCGAATCATCCCGCCAAGCTCCTTCTCAGACCCAGTCCTGGAGGCAACTACAGCTGGCCCAGAGGAGGCACCCGGGCCTCCTTGGCTGTCCCTGGCCCAAGAGGGTCCTCCAGCGCCCTGGGGCAGCACCTGGTCTGGGTGCTCTGCTTCTCAGCCCGGTGTGTCACATGTTGCTTCCTCCCAGTTCTGGAGCTGGCTGTATCTTCAAGGACTTGAGCCTTCTGGCCACCGGGACCCTCAGTGGCTGGCAGATTGGGCTGAGCTGTCCCCTTCCGAAATGCCCTGAGCTGCTGGAGAAGCTGACTCTTCCCAGTATAGTCCCTGTGACATATGACAAGCAACCTCAACACCAAGTGGAGCCAGACCCCCCCCATCCAGAGTCCCCCATCCAGACCCCCCCCCCCATGTTCACTGGTTCTCAAGACAGTTAAGATTTTGGCCTCTCAGCCCTTGCTGGGTCATAGGGCATGTTAGCATGCTAAAGGCCTGTGGGAGGAAACCTATGTGACGCTTCTCAACTCAGATTTTTCTTCTTTTTTCCCATACACCTAATGATGTTCCATTTTAGGGGGAACACTGCCTTTGACTCTGACATTCCCACAGGGTAGGATCCACAGGCTTTTCAATTCCAAAAACTATAGATACAGCATATAAGTCTAAGTGGCCCCATGACCACCATGTGGGGCCTCTGCATGATGGGGAGTGGAAACTTCTCTGAATTTAACATTGCACTTCTTAATTCACCCTGGCTTTTCCTTTCTAGCTAATAGCCATCACTTTATTCCATCCTGAAACTTCTTTCCACTTCCAATGCTATCAGCAGTAGGGACCAAATCAATTTGGAGAGCTATTTTTTAGAAGGAAAGTATTAATCCCTTCTCAGGAGCGAAGTGAGGTATCCTTGGTGATGTCAGGAGGACAGCAGCCCAGGCTGGGCCCCAAGTGGGCTCCCACGGGCCACCTCCCAGACCACCCCTAGGCCCACACGTGCTGGCCCTGTGGGTGCAAGACAAAGCTGAAAGCACAAACATCAAACGTGCCAGGCTGAGGGCTTGCTGTGGAAAGCAGAGATGGACCATGCCCAGGTGGCGGGAGCCCCTTGGTGGTTACCGTAGCCCCTGGGAGGAATGACACTCCTGCTCTGCTGGGCCCTGTTGGTCTCCAAGAGCCGCTGTCTCTTCCTCCTCCTCGCTGTCAGAGGAGCTGGAGCTGGAGGTGATGAAACCTGGGTTCACACAGATTGTATCCCACGCCACCCAGGCCTCCCAACTGACCCAAGACCACTGAGGTTTCCTGCCAAGTGGTGGAGGGACAAACTCCAGGGCGATGTACCAAAGCCTAGACTGCTGGCTTTAAGCTCTGCCTGGGTTCTGCTCTCCCTGCAGGGAGACCCTGCTGATGGGACCAAGTGGGACTGCCGGCCAGGCTCAGCTCCTGGCTACGAGCACTTCTCCACCAAGCAGTGCTCTGGTACTAGCCCACATGGGCGCTGTCCCACACCGTCCCACCTGTCGAAGCCCCTGCTCCTCCTGAGGCCAACGTGGCTAATGCAAAACAGGGCTGTCACCACTTCCAGTACCTTTCTGAAGACCCAAGGTCCGATGGCTCCGTGGGCCGCAAATCGATGAAGACAGTAGGAGGCTCTGCTGGGCCCCTTAGCTGCAGGCCGCTGGCCAGCCTTAGGCCCAGCTCAGCCTGGAAGCCCGGCTCCATCCGAGCAGTTCTGAGATAAGAGAGCAGGGTTTTCTGAGTCACTTCTGGGTGATTATGGTGTGACCTGTGCTGGTCTCAGGGCTGCCCCCAACTGGACGCCCACCATGTACAGGGCACTGAGCTAGGCCCTGTAAGTGCCCTTGTTCTTTTGCTCTTCAGAACAACCCTCAAGATTTGGCCAACAATGCCCAACAGAACCATCCATGGTGACTGACATGTTCAGGGTCTGTGCTTTCCCATGTGGTAGCCACTGGCCAAAGGTAGCTACTTAAATTTACATGTTAGCTAATTGAAATCAAATAAAAAAATAAAATTAAATCATTTCCTTGGGGCACCTGGGTAGCTCAGCCATGATCTTTGGCTCAGGTCATGATCTTGCAATTTATGGGCTGGAGCCCCGCATCAGTCTCTGTGCTGACAGCTCAGAGCCTGGAGCCTGCTTCAGATTCTGTGTCTCCCTCTCTCTCTGCTCCTCCCGAACTCCTGCTCTGTCTCTCTCTCTCTCAAAATTAAATAAACATTAAAAAAATATATAAAAAAATCATTTCCTCATTTGTACGAGACATGTTTCAAAGGTTCAGTAGCCACGTGTGGCCAGTGGCTATCAATTGGACAGCGCAGGTCTAGATATTTCTACTGGACACTGGGTTGCTAGGAACGGAAGCCCACTCCAAGTAGCTCAGGTGAAAAGGGGGATTCAGTGGCTCTCAGATTCCTAAAAAGAGTGGAACAACCAAAGTGTGGGAAGCTAGGCTTTAAGGGATCCTGGTGCCCTGTCCCCACCTCTTCCCTTTCGGCTTCAGTCTTTCTCACTACAGCTGGCCTTTCTCAGCCCTCCCATCCCCATCCGGACACACTGAGACTGGGAATTCTCAGGGAAAGGCTCTGATTGGCCTGGCTTGGGTCACAGGCCAGTGCTAGCCTAACAGTCTGACAAGGCAGGTCCTTGTCTGGGGAAGTCATGTGGATGATGGAGGGAGGGTTCCTATAGAGTGTGCAAAGAGTAGGTGCTCTGAGGCTCGAGTCCCAGCCCTGCCATCTATGGCCTAGACAGGCCAACCTCTGAGCCTCAGTTTCCCCATCTATAACACGGGGGGATAAGATAATAGCAGCACCTACCTGATCAGACTGTTGAGATGAAATGAGAAATATACATCAAGTGCTCCCCCCCCCCTCCAGGTAGGCCTAATAAATGCTGCAAGTCCATGGGCCACTTCCACAGAGGACAGGGCTGTAGCTGGCAAGAAGTCCCACCTGCTGCTGGTCTCCCACTGCTTGGTGTCCTGGGGCGTGTCAGCAGGTGCCTTCCAGGCAGAAGAAGCCCTGGATTGTGTGGCACCCAGGAGGGCGAGCCGTTCCATGAGCCTGTCCTGGGTGTTGAGCAGGGTGTGGTCTGAGGGCAGAGCGGGGAGGCTGCTTAGTGGGGACACTGCCCCTGTTTGATTTACAGTAGTCTGAGCTACTGATTCCCCTTGGAATCCTTTGTGTAGACACACCTCACCTTGTACACGTCCTCTGCCACTCAGCCCTGTACAAAGACCCCCACCTCCAGCTCAGCAGGGCCAGGGGAGTGCTGTGTACACAATCCCCATAAAGAGGGAGTGACTTACTACTAACAGTTTACCTCACTCCTCAGTCCCACATGTCAGAGGGAACCATAATTAACAATTACCACTTAAAAAAAAAAAGGCAACAGGATTATCCTCTGTAGATTTTTTTTCACTGTATAGATTGTCTTTCCATGTTAACATACATAGATTACCTTCATTGGGTTTTAGTGCATTTTGTGCTGTAACTGCTTTAGCTTGACTCCTATAGAATATTGAATATGGGTCATTTCCAAATTTTCACAATTATAAACAGTATTGCAACAAACATCCTTGAATACACACCTTCACCCACTGGGGTATTTAGGATAGACTTTAGCAGTGGAATAAGTGGATTGAAGGCTTAAGTGCCTTTAAAATAGAGAATGGATTCTGCCACATTGCCCTCCAAAACAGGTGCGTGGATTACAGCCGCTGCCTTACAGGAGAGAGGGTTTCTCCACACCTTGCTGTAAGGCATTAAATTACAAACAAACAAGCAAACAAAAAAACCTTGTTGAAACAGCACCAGGGGCTCAGTCACAGAGGGAGTTTGCTCCGGAATTGGAAGCCGGAACCCACAAACCTCCTTGCTCCTTTGCTTCACTCACCTTTGTGGCCCGGGATGGATGAAGAGGGAAGAGGAGCTTTCCTTTTATTTACAGAACTGCCCAGAGCGAGCCCACAGGTGCAATGGCAGTAATCACATCCCTGGCTTTCTCGGTAAATGGGGAGATGAATGGAAGCAGAGTTTGCTTAGGAGCTGGGTGAAGAAGCACAAAATGCAGGTTGGTTTGCTCTCAGAGAGAGAGAGGAAGGCCTGAGGGGGTGGGCAGGAGGAAAAGGTGTGGGTCAAGGGTAGGGACCGTGTCTGAAGGCCCCCCTGGTATCTCCAGAGCCTCTTCCACTCCAGACACCAGCAGGGGGTCATATGTATAATGAATGAGTGAGTGAATGAATGAATGGGTGAAATTTCCACGGGCTGGCACCTGACCTGTGTGGGACCATGAGGGCTGAGCAACAGAGAGGACATGGTGGGCTGCCAGGCTGACCCTATTTTTGAGAGCCCCTGGAAAGAGCTGCTTATGGGGATGCACTTGGGCCCTGGCGTTCAAGATCAGACCTTGGCCCAGGCGGTCAGCTGCCCACCACGTAGCTCCAGGTGCGCGATCTCCCCTGTCATCTTCTCGCCCTGCCAGACTTTGAAGGATGTGATCCAAATCCCACTCTTCAAGTTGCTGAAATAATTAGAGGAGTGATTAAAATGCAGCCACAGGGTCCTGGCAGCAGGAGTGCCTGCTTCCACAGCTGCCGTGACCAACAGAGGCCATCGTGGGTTGTTTTGGGTTAGAAATGAGGGTTTGGGTGCCTGCCCACATTGGCACGGGCTCCCTCTCTCACCCACACCTCCATTAAGGTGGGTGGGGCCAGCGTCTCCTGCCTTCTCTTTCCTTTGCCTTTTTTAGGCAACACTTTTGTTTTTGGCACAGAGACACTGTTTGACCTGGAAACCCCAGTGTTGTCTTAAAACTCTTTAGGTTCATACAGGTTTAGAGTGGTGGGAGGTTAAAACGTTTTGCTCTCTTAAGGAACAGATTGTTCTGGGCAGGTGCTCCCACGCAAGGACCTGGAAAAGAGCGCTGGGGGCGTCCGGGTGTGGGGAGAGGAGGGAGGAAGGTAATTGGGAATTGATGTTCCTTGTAGCTCCTTGTGGCCCTAGGGTGAGTGAAAACAGAAGTGTTTGGGGGCCAGCAGAATGGAAAGAATGGCTTGTTTAAACCACAACCGATGAGAATGAAATTGGTAAAAATGACCTCCATGTACAACCTGATACCGTTTTTCTATGTTGTTAAAATTATCAAAATTTGAAAATAAGGCAAAAAAAGGAATTGTGTGATGTTTAAATGTCATGCTGGAGCTTTTGTGACAAGCCCACCTTTCTGGGGACAGTAATTTGGCTTGCACAGTTGACCAGGGCCCACCTATTTTACAACTTTGTAAACTGAGAACAGGTACAGTGGGTTTTTTCTGTCTGGTAGAGGTGATAACCCCAAAAGTAACAAAAACTTGTTGTTACTTTTGTTAGGATGTTGACCAATTTTGTACTTAGTATAGCAATTTTATCTCAGCACTCCTTTCTTTTTCCGCAGTTTTACAAAATCCCAGTTTCTCATAATCTCTTTGACCTGGCTTTGTCTTCCTGCCGGTTCCCTCATTAATGAGAGAAATACAACGTTAACAGGTGCTCACACTATTTGTGTGAAAGTGACAGCTTTAAGATTTTGGGAATTGTGCTTCAACAAAGTTTCTTCTATATCTTATATGTGGTTGTCTGTCTTTATAAACATGCTTTAGATTAGTATTCCTCCAGCCCTTCCTTCCTCCCTTCCTCCCTTCTTCTTTCCTTCCTTTTAAAGAAGGATGGAGTCTCCTTGCTCTTCCTTATTCTCGTTAACTCTACCTAAGGATGGTCTGTCTGTCAGGACCACACACCCACTGAGACAGGCACGACTGATGGCTGGGGGACCTAGGACCATGTGCCTAGGGGCTTAAGGTCATTGCTGTAGACTGAATGTCTGTGTCCCTCAAAAATCCACACGTTGAAATCCTAATGCCCAATGTGATGGTGTTTGGAGGTGGGGCCACCGGGAGGTGATTATGTCATGAAGGTGGAGCTTTTATAAAAAGGCCCCAGAGAGCTCCCTCGCCTCTTCCACCGTAAGAGGACACAGCCAGATGTCAGGAAGAGGCTCTCACCAGACACTGAATGTGCTGGCGCCATGATCTTGGACTCCCCAGCCTCCAGAACTGTGAGAAATGAATTTCTCTTTAAGCCCTCCGTCTGTGGCATCTGTTATGGCAGCCCAGGTGTAGAGGGCAAGCCCTCAGGTTGTCCTGTGGAGGACCAGCTCACGGCCAACGTGCAGGGGACGCCCTGAGGAAGCACAGGCTGGAAGATGCCTACCTTGAGGGAGAGCACCAGCCGTCCTTCCCGGGGCCCCTCTGGTGGCGTCTCTGTTCTTGGAACTGCCACTGCCGCTGCACAGGGTGCCTCTTCCACTTGACTTTGGTCACTGCAGGCTGGGTTCTGGGCATCCCAGGTGACTTTATGGAGTATGTCCTTCTCAATCACCTTCCTTCTCTCCTTTCGGAGGACTCTGCGGTCTGCATAGTCTGCAGCCCAACCGGTTTGTGAGGCAGCGCTCAGGGGCTCTGCTTTCAGGTCGCCTTCCCAGGGGGACAGGGTGGCTTCCCCCTGCAGCCCTTGGTGAGGACCCTGGGTGCTGAGGGACACAGCCCCATGGTTGTCTTCCTGCCACTTGGGGGTGTCCTTGGGCACCCTGAGAAGAGAACTGGTTTCCCCACAGCTGTCTATAGGCCCGCCAGGGTCTCCACCTTGCAGAGAGGCAGAAGCCTCTGTCCTTGGGCCCCACTCTCTCCAGGGTTCTGTGCTGGGTTCCACAGGCACTGCACCTGGCTGTGGACAAAATGGGTGTCCTCAGCGTTCTCAAAAACATACTTGAGGGAATTTTTGTGTGTATGTAGTAAAACAGGTATGTAACATAAGATTTGCCATTTTAACCATTTTATCATTCTGTGACATTAAGCACATTCATAATGTGCAATCATCGCCACTATTTCCAAAGCTTTTTTATCACCCCAAAGAGACTGCACCTTCCCTCCCCCCCAGGCCCCTAGTAACCTCCAGTCTACTTTCTGTCTCTATGGATTTGCCTGTTCTAGATATTTCATATAGGTGGAATCACACAATACTTGTCCTTTTGTGTCCTTTGGCTTAGCTTAGTGTTTCCAAGGTGCATGGAGGTTGTGGGTCAGTACTTGATTCTTTTTTATGGAGTGCATAATATGCCATTGTATGGACTATGTTTTGTTGATCCATTTCATTTGTTAGTGGCCATTGGGTTGTTGTTACCTTTTGGCCACTGCAAATAGGCCACACAGCTATTAAGGGGTAGACAAGATGAAACCTAGGCCCTCTGACTCCAGAGCAAGCCCCACAGCCTCTGCCCCCATGAGTGAGGACAGACTTTCCTGTCCCAGATTGGGAAAAAAAAATTCTCCAGGACAGTTGCTGAGGTAATTGTAGAAATGAAGAAAACGCAAGATAAACTCACGTGGACATCCCTGCACCTGAACTAACTACCGGTCTTGGCAGGCCTGGGAATTTCAGACCTTCTTCTAGGTGTAGCTGAGTGAGGGAGTCATGATGATGAATGTTCTGTAAGATGACCCTGTATCAGTGCTTGCACTGAGATTTCCAGAACTCTCAGCACATAACCCCTGCCTCTAAACTGGCACTGAGACTTGACCAAACTCTAGAATGGCTTTTAGCAGCACACGGCTAGCATGACCCCAGTCCGTGAAAACATCTGCCTGAGAAAGCTCAGTGCTGTGGGGAGAATTCAGTGTTTGTTCCAGCCAACACCTGATGAGAGGCCCCTGACCTCCCTTTCTTAAGAGCATTTCCTAAAAAGGGCTTCAGACTCGGAGCTACGTGTCTCTTACAACCCAGAAGCATCTGTCCTGGGCCTGAGAGCCTTTCCTTTGGAATGTTCTCGTCAGGAAGGACAGGGCCTCTGTCTCCCTTCTTCCAGGGAGGATAGACTCCTGACTTCCATATCTGCCAGCGGACACACCTGGCCTAGTCACACCCACGCTGGCCTGCTCTTTGTGATCGTTCACTTCTCTGACTCTAGTGAGCCCTGTTCTCCCCCTCCCTCGGTCTCCCTTTGAAACCCCGGTCACCTCTGCACAAGTCGGAGGGAGCTCAGCTCTTTCCCTGCTGTCAGCAGTTACCGAATGAAACCTGCTTCCCCTGCTTTGACGAATGTCTGGCTGTGCTGGACTGTGACAGCATACCCACTTCTCCTAGTTAATGAGTGACAACTAGTCATAATAATTACAGCAGAGGTAGGCCTGTCTCCCAGAGCCTTTAAGAAGAGCCAAAAGGCCTGATCAGTTGGGGACCTGCCCGGTGATGAAAGTCTATTGATGGGTTCTATTTATAAGGGCAGCAATTAATTTTAAGCATCAAGCCATTTTTTTTTTTTTTTTTTTAGCAGCAGGCAAAAGTTTATTAGAATATAGGATTAGAAAGGAAGAATAGTAGGAAAGCTCTCTTTACAGAGAGGGGACATTCGAAAGTGAATGCCCCAAGCCATTAATTTTAGATAGAGTTTTTGGTCTTACCTGGGGCTGTGGGAAATGAGAAAAGAAGATGGAAAATTTGCTCTGACAGTTGGCGATGACTGTGATACGTGGTTACAGAGTGTGCTTTGGCATTTCTAATTGTTTCTTGTGTTCACCTCACCTCTCCAGTGAGGGGCACCTTCTTACCTCTGAATCCCCACTGTCACCCTTATTAAATCAACAAATGTTTAGGGAGTGCCGCAGTTTTGACCTCTTTGACCCACACCATAGGGTCAGGTGAGAGCGCGGACACCCACACCCACACCCCATTCTGCCCGCAGGGTCCCAGCTTTGTGGATCCCCGGGGCCTGCCTTCTACAGACCTCAGAAGACCCATCAACCGTAGCAAGCCAGGCCCCGGCAGGGTCTTCGGCCAGCTCCTCCGACAGGTCTGGGATCAGGGCAGTGTGATCTCGCTGGAAGATGAACAGCTCCTCTGCCTCGCAGTCCGACTGTGACAAATGAGAGGACTTTTGAATTATAGGGCAGCAGGCAGAGCCAGGAGGGCCTCAGCCTCCGTCTGCCCTTGCCCTGCTGCTCAAGAGTGATCTGGGGAGATCAGCTTTCTCCCAGAGGTCTTTGGCCTGGCTGGTTCCTGCCACTGATTTAGAAAAGGGCTCGGCTGCACAGCCTCGTGAAGTGAGATCCCGGGCTCCAGTTGTGCACATACCTGCCACCCCCTAAGACCTTGAACATAACAGGTGCTCAGATAACACCTGGCACTGAACGAACAGGGCAGCAAGGTGGTAGCTGAGAGAAGAGCCCAGCTCTCCCCCTGGCCTGTAACCTTTAGCCATCACATAAACGACACAGTGTCTTCGCACCTCTAAGGGGAGAGGGGGCACTTAGAGTCACCAGCTCACCTTGCAAGGATATCTGAAGATGAGAACGAATGAGGCTGAAGACATGAAAAGGTACTGGGGTCATGTTATCTACTCTCCGTTAGCTTTGTCGCATGCTGGAAGATACCTGAGGCCCAGGACGCTCTGTTTGTCTTTGTAGGCATCCCAGGAAGGACCCAAACCTGTCAGGTTACTTCTAAATGCCTAGCTGCAAACTGTGAGTTTGGCACCCACTACTAGGGAGCGGCTGCCCAGGGCCTTGTCTACTTTTCTTCATCGATAGGGTCACTGCCATTCTTGTGTGTGTGCACATGCCCACTTTTCATTAGGCGGAGAAGCTGGCACAGCTCATTTAAGACTGAATTCAGGGGCGCCTGGGTGGCGCAGTCGGTTAAGCGTCCGACTTCAGCCAGGTCACGATCTTGCGGTCCGCGAGTTGGAGCCCCGCGTCGGGCTCTGGGCTGTTGGCTCAGAGCCTGGAGCCTGTTTCCGATTCTGTGTCTCCCTGTCTCTCTGCCCCTCCCCCGTTCATGCTCTGTCTCTCTCTGTCCCAAAAATAAATAAACGTTGAAAAAAAAAAATTTATAAAAAAAAAAAAAAAAAAAAAAAAAAAAAAAAAAAAAAAGACTGAATTCAGAGTCACTCTTGTCACCCAGTGTTCTCAGTTCAGTGTTTGATATCAGTCAGTAGAAACTAGAAACACAATTACGATCATGGGGAGGCAGGGTCTGCCAGGTGTGTAATGTCACAAAGGGCTTCTTATTCTTGAAGAGGCAAAGTAGGCTCCATAAATGTTTGTTGAATGAATGCATGCCACCATTTCAATGCATCACGATAAGCTCTTGGAGGAATTCTCCGGTGATAATTTCAGGTCACTGAAATGGCCCATAAGGATGCCAAGTATGAATAAATGTATTCGGAGGACAAAAAGCAAAATTATGACAAATGCAGGAGCTGATAAGCTCCAAAGCTGTTCTTGGGTCAACATTGTGCTTGCCATGGGAAGAAAGGGCAATCGGGGCCCAGGAAAACATAGGAAGAAGGCGCTTGCTTACCAAGGAGGAATCGGAGTCCAGAGATGGGAGCTGCTCCCTGACGGCCTCAAGGATGGCATCCCAGGGCCCTGTCTGGGAGGCCCAGGGAGGTGGGGACTCCTCATCTTTGTCCTGGGACGCCATGAGGACCCAGGCTCCAGGGATGCTGCTCAGCGTGCCATCATCCAAGCAGCCCTGCAGAGGACACAGGGTGAGGTGAGAGGGTTCCAGGGGCCAAGGGCCAAGAGCTCAGGGTGGGGCAGTGGGAGAGGGCTGCCTTTTCAAAGCGTCTACCACCCTGTGGGGGGTGAAAACAGACTGCCAGACCTCCCATTGGTTTCCCTTCTGGTTCTCCAGGTTCCTGTTCCTGTTAGTCAATGTGCCCACACGTGTGTGTATGTATGTGTGTGTGTGTGTGTGTGTGTGTTTGAACAACACAGGTTGGAACTGCATGAGCCCACTTATATGCAGATTTTTTTTCAATAAATGCAGTTAGTACAATAATGTATTTTCTCTTATGATTTTCTTAACATTTTCTTTTCTCTAGCTTATTTTATGTGGGAATGCTGTATATAATACATGTAACATACAACATGTGTTAATCGTCTAATGATGTTATTGGTAAGGCTTCTGGTCAACAGTAGGCTGTTGTCGCTAAGTTTTTAGGGAATCAAAAGTTATATGTGGAGGTGTGCCTGGTTTGCTCAGTCAGTAGAGCATGTGACTCTTGATCTTGGGGTTTTAAGTTTGAGCTCCAAATTGGGTGCAGAGATGACTTAAAAATAAAATCTTAAAAAAAAATTTTTTTTTAATGTTTATTTTTGAGACAGAGAGAGCATGAACGGGGGAGGGTCTGGGAGAGAGGGAGACACAGAATCCGAAGGAGGCTCCAGGCTCTGAGCTGTCAGCACAGAGCCCGACACGGGGCTCGAACTCACGGACCGCGCGATCATGACCTGAGCCAAAGTCGGTCGCTTAACTAAGCCACCCAGGCGCCCCTAAAAATAAAATCTTAAGGGGGCACCTGGGTGGCTCAGTCAGTTAAGCGTCCAATGTCCAACTCTCTCTCTCTCTCTCAAAAAAATAAGCATTTAAAAAAAGATTTTATTTTAATATTTATTTATTTATTTGGAGAAGGGGGGGGTGTGCATGAACGGGGAGGGGCAGAGAGAGAGATTGAGAGTGAGAGGGAGGGAGGGAGACAGGGTATCTGAAGCGGGCTCTGTGCTGAAAGTGAAGAGCCCAATGCAAGGATTTTTGACTGCGCGGGGTATTGGTCCTCCTAAGTCCTGTGTTCAAGAGTCAGCTGTATGTGTGTATGTATATCTATATATATCTAGATGTATATATCTATACCTATAATATATAATGTAACCATATACATACATATGTAGGTATATGTATATAATAAATAGAATGATATATGTGTATGATATACAGATTATGTAAGGTATTTATATCCCAAGTAACATAAATCCCATTACTATCTACATTTTATAGACTCAGAGAAGTTACATTGTTAGTAAATGGCAAAGACAAAATTTGTAGCAAAGTTAGAAGGGATTTCAAGCCTCACTACACTTTACTGCCCCCCTTACAAAGGAGTCCCCAGGAAAGTTTTTTTGGAGTCACCACTTAACCCCTGACACCCAGGCATTTAACCAGCCCCTTCCATCTTTTGTACTCCTAACAGGAGAAGGCCTGGGCCCTCAGGGGTCAAGGTAGCTTTAGGAATGTGGGATGATGGTACTTCAGAGCCAGTGTCTGGACATCCCCTGCAGCCCCCAGATATAGCCCACTGTGCCTATACTATGAGAAGAGAGCACTTCCGCCCTAGCCCTGCCTGGCTATTACTCTGTGTCAGGGCCCCCATGAAGGCAGCAGTAGCAGATGTGAGTGGTGGGGTACTTGCTTTTGTGCTCACAGAACCTGGAGCAGGAGCTTGGTGCACCTTGAACTGTGAACAGCAGGGTGGGGACGCAGCTCATAACACATCAGCGGATGTTTTTTGGAACCGGGCTCTGTAGGGCAGACTGTAGCGTAACAGAATCACCAGATATTCTAGGTTCTTCAGACAGGCAAGGCAACAGGGTAGGGAAAGGCATTACAGGTTGCAGCAAGAACATGTACAGTGGCTCAGAAGAGTAAAAATTGCCCAACATGTTGGGGTAAGAAAGTATCTGCTGCGAGAATATGCGGTGATGACAGACCAGATCGCGGAGGGTCTTGAACACCACGGCGAGTTCACTTTATCCTGCTGACTGGGGTTAACGCCTAAAGCTAAGCGGCGGAGCTGCTCGAGTCTCCTCCGAACCCTGGAGCAAATTCCACATCCGTTTCTTCGCTGCAGCCCGTTAGCCCCGCCCCTATCCCCGCCCCCGCTCTT